CCCCCCCACCTCCGGCTCCCGCAGCTTCCGTCAACTTTGCCATCAGCGCCACGGGATCCTTCATTAAGTCCTCGACTTTAATCCCGGGGGGTTCTCGAACACTCCTCCGCTTCTCTAATCTCTCCGCCCCATCTCTATATGCCGCCGGACTATCCACCCGTTGACTTAGCATACTTTTTTTCCTCCTAAGAGCCGGTCCTTGATCTGGTGATAATGAAGCGCTACTACTTCTTCTTGATATCTCTGCTTTCTTCTTTTCCAAATATGCGGAGAATTCCTGCGGGGCAAGCTCGGGGTGGAGTCTAGCTGGAACCCAAAAGACGGCTGTAGCTTCGTCGGAGGAGTCTGAAGGGGTGTTGATTCCTGGAATCGAAGGAGAACCAGGCGGTGGGGAGTTGCTGGGAGAGAAATTTGGGAGATCAGGATCCGCGGAGGTTACGTCCATTGACATTCGTCGGAGGGCTTGGAGATTACTGATTTCCATGGCGACAGCGTGGGGGGAAGTTTCGTAGTCGATTGTGTTGAGAGGGTAGTGGTGGGAAGCGGGGGAGGTGGGGGATGTTGGAGCTGTAGTTGTTCCTCCGCTTGCTGATGTTCCTGCTGTTCCTGCCGATGCGCTCCCTCCGCTCCCTTGTGTTGGGGGTGATCGTTTCCGTGGTGGTGATCGCGGGTTATTGATAGCTATTATGGGATTTCGTGGGTTCGTGGTCGCGCGCGGAGGACTCGTGGGTGATCTTGGATCTACGTATGGGTTTGGACTGCGCGGGGACGTAGGACTCGTAGGGCTCGTGGTGGCTGTATTTCGTGATCTAGGAGGTGACCGTGGGTTCGTCGCATCGGCACTAGGGGGTGACGAAGGCGGGGTCCTTGCGTTGACGCTTGTATTGGAAGTACGTATGTTCGGTACCGAAAGCGTAGTCTGTCTCTTTTTTGATCTTGGTGTCATACCTCCCCCAGCTCCGTCATAGACGGCAGAGGCGAGTTCTTCATCTGTTGGTGAGGGTAGAAAGGAGTAACGGTTGCTTGTGAAGGTGTTGACAGCGCTTGTGTTGATGTCGGATGGAGAAGAGTATAAGTCGCCGATTTCTTCGGTGACGTGGTGCGGATCGCTCATCGAGGCGCGAGCGCGTTCGTGACGAGGCTATGGGTGATGTCAGTGACGATGAGGAAAGCTATGGGATTCGGTTAGGGGATCAACAGCCCCGCATGAGAGTAGGGGCGCGGGGTAGGGGGGAGGAGAGCGCGACGGATGAAGGTCTGGACGGGTGGTGAGGATAGGGCTGCCTTCGCCAAAGTCCAGACAGACAGCTCTTGTGGCGAGGACATCGATCCAGATCGTCGCAGAGATATCACATACCTTTACACTCATTCTCCTCTTTCTTGTTCTCCTTGTTCAGTTTCTGAGATTCTCGTGTGTGGAATCAGTTGATGGCGTCTAGTATACAGCGGCGGCGATGCGGACTGAAGACAAAGTTCAGGCCTGAATGGGAGTGGCGAGGTACATGGGCGTGGGTTGTGCTCTAATCTGGGATCGTGGGTCGTCACTGCTGTAGTCGTTTGTAGATACTGGGTGAGCTGAGCTTCGATGGTGCGTTGTAGGGCTCCGCAGGGCTGTCGCTGGCGAACGAGAGATGAGGGACGATGCGATGCGAAAAACGCGGATCCGAGGGTGCAGTATGTCCTTTTCCTTTGTTGGAGTAAGTCGGTTTGAGGTGAGTGGGGGTTTGAAGGAAGGTTTCGCGGTGGTTGGGACAAAGCTCGGAGTGTCTGGAGAGAGTAGCGATGGCTGACGATGGTTGATGGTCGATGGTGTACCGAGCTGCAATTTCTTTTGTTTCGGGTGATGTCAAGTAAGGGGAGTTTATTCTGGATAAGAGGGAGTAGGGATAAATGATCTGCTTCTTTTTTCACTCGCGGCGACTCTATTTTTGTCTCTGGTGGTCCGGTTGTATTGTCTCTCGTGGGCGGTTTTTTGTCGCCTTACCACGGCTGTAGACTGATTTGTAGATCCTGCTTGTGAAGAAACGACCGAGATGAACAGCATCAACCATCCAGGAACAGCTGTGACGATAAAGAATTGAAGGAGAAGACAGTCGGAAAAGAACAGTACCGAGCATCAGAGAATAGCTATGATCACGGTCAAGAATTAAAAGTAAAGACAGCTCAAAGGGGCACAGCTGTGATGGTATAAAAGTAGGACAAGCGCTGAACCAAAAACAAAAATGGTGACAAGCGCTGAACAAAATCTCCGAGAGTCTCAACGTCTCTTCAGAGTTCAGACAGCCTGGTAAAAAAGAAACTCACAATTGAGGTTGTTCAAAAAAGTAAATAAGCTGTCATCATCGTCTGTGGCTGATGTGAGTACAGTGACACTCATCCGACAGGCTTCCCCTCATCAGCCTTTCATACATTCAGGAATTCCTTCACAGCTCTTCATCTATCCAGACTTCAGCTTCAGACGCCATAAAACAACCCATCGATTTCTACAGACTTTGCATTTCAAACAGCCCCGCATATCACGAGACCTCAACTTAGCTCACATAGCTCCCCCCTCATCAAAAGCCAAGCCAAGCTTCAGCTGCGGTAGCTTCACTGAACTATAGAAACCTTCTTTACACGTCGAGTCGCATCCATCGCATCCCGACAAAAAGCTTAACAACAACAACGCTCTTTACCACCAAAACCACCACCAACCATCCCTCCCACTCCTTCCGAACCAGATCCGAAACAATGCCTCCCCCAACGATCCTCGCCATCAAAACCTCCGCCGTAAAACGGTTGATCAAAGAAGACGCAAGTTATCACAAGCAACTCACGCTTGACCAAGCTCGCCTTGAAAAAATGGAGAACGATGGGGAGAGCGACAAGTATGCTATTGCTCAGCAGGTATGTGCTGTCTGTGTGTGTTGGTCGCTTTGTCGTATCATTCACTCAACTACCCGCTTCGTATGCGGGGAAGCTTTGCGCGGATACCCCGCCAACACGAACGTGTGAAGCTTCATCTCCGTATACCCAAATCTTCATACCTCTTTCCTTCTGCACTCTCCGAAAACCAGATAGCTAACAAACCGTACCCAAAAACAGAAGAAAGTAGTCGAAGAAACTCAAGCCGCCATCCCAGTTGTTCGCCAGAGACTTGAAGACGCTATTCAGGACCTAGAGAACCAGCTTGTACGTCCCCATCCCCTACCTCATCATCCGCGTCGTATCATTATCCCCTACCAAAAGATCACACACCATCAAAACCAATTCCATATCAATATGCCCCTTTTATATTCCGCGATTGCTTCTTTCTACATATGCCTTTACAATCATCCAAGTGCTGTCAATACTGTACAGTGCAGCTCCAACTATTCCCACTGTTCATCCGAGCTATTGCCCCTGCACCTGCATCTATCTGCACATTTCAAATCACATCACAGTGTAGTGCAGTTCTATTCTTGCACTTGGTGCCAGAACTTCTCGTCTCCTTCACTTCCTTTCCATCTCCCATTGCTCCTCCTTGCTTCCAGTTGCCTTCATCTACCCCTCTACTCCTCTATTCTACAATCTAAGAAATTTGTCACAAAAAAAAATAAACAGAGAAAATTAAGCTAATATACCAACAGCAAGCTTCTACCAATGAAACCGACCTCGTGAAAGAGAACGCACGGGAGGCTGTTACCGATGGAAAGAAGGCTTTGGTACCGAGTGCTTAAGGCGGCGGCGGCGGCGGCGGTGGTGGTGGTGTTGGTGTCTGGCGTGTGATGGTGATGGTGGGGTGGGAGGTGTGGTGAAGGTGATGCTGGATAGGAACTGAATATCGAAAGAGGGGAGGCGAGAACAAAGATGCATAATACCCAATTACATGGATTAACTAAAAAATTCCTTATTAATGATAATACCAACCAAAAATCTTTTATAATGCACAACACATACAGCAAAATTCTAAAATCCGGTAGAAAACAGGTTACAGCTATTAGAAGTTAATGACGAGCTTTCAGAAGAGGTTTTTTTTGTTAGTGATATTGATATTGATATTGAGTTTGTACATAATAAGTAATTATCATACTTTAGATGGTTTTTAAGGGACTATATTGACTAGGGAAATAGGGAAGATATAATCCTCGGTAGTATAGTGGTTAGTATTTCCGCCTGTCATTCACTGATTGGTTTCGCGGGAGACCGGGGTTCAATTCCCCGCCGAGGAGTTTCTTTTTTTGGGGGGTTTGGGTTTGGGTTTGATTTTTTGTTTGCTGCTTTTGCTGTCTTGGTTTTATTTTTCTGTGTTGATTTTATTTTTTTGTGTTGTTTTGCTTTTGGGGTGGAAGGGGTTTTTCTGGTTGCTGGTTGCTGGTTGCTGGTTGCTGGGTTTTTGTAGTTTTGTTTTCATCGTTGTTTTTATCGTCTTTTGTTTTCATCGTTGTTTTTATCGTCTTTTGTTTATGTTTCGTCTCTTGTTTATGTTTTTGTTTATGTTTATGTTTATCTTCTCCCTTCCCCCTTCCCCCTTCCCCCCTTGTCCCCCTTCTTCCCTTATTCCCATCTTTCCCCTTGTTTTCCCTTCCCCCTTCTCCCCTTCTTTTCCCTTCCCCTTCTCCCCATTACTCCCGCTTATTCCCCTTCCCTTCCCATTATTCCCTTGTTTTCCCTTTCTTCAATACTATCACTTTATCACGACATTATCACATTACCACGGCATTATCACTTTATCACAGCCTTACCACAGCCTTAACACGGCATTATCACGGCATAATGGCATAATGGCAATGATACCATCACAGTCCCCGATCCAAACCAGTGGCTATATATATTATATATTATATATCTGTTTTTAGTAAATTTAACAAATTTAGAAAATTTAACAAATTTAACAAATTTAACAAATTCAACAAAAAAGAAAGCATGCGAAAAAGAAAAGCATGCGAAAAAAAGATAAAAAAAAGCACACGAAAAAAAAAAAATTACGTCAAAAAAAATAAAAGAAAAAAAAAGTATGCCGGAAAAAAACGCAAAAAAGAAACCGAACGCGGGGATCGAACCCGCAACCTTCAGATCACTTGGTGAGGAGCACCCATAGAAGTCTGACGCGCTACCATTGCGCCAGCCCGGCTTGGTTGGTGTTGGTGTTATGTATGGTATTGTAATTAAAATAAGAATGAGGATGGAGATATGGAGATGAGAATGGAGATATGGAGATATGGTTGGGGGGGAGGGAGGGGGGTTGTTGCTGCGGTGGTGATAGTGATGGTGATGGTGATGGTGATGGTGATGGTGGTGATGGTGGTGATGGGGGCAAATTTTTATTACAATCGTATTCCGATATGAAAGTTTTTTTACGGCTATAGTATATCTACTACCCCACAAGCCGCGTGACAGTATGACAATAACTGACCCTTGCCGTGCACGTCGTTCTTTTTAGGGGAAGGGGGGAGGGAAGCTACAATGTTAGAAATCAGAGTAATAAATAGTTTAGAAAATATTGCTGTTGGATGTTATTTATTAATAATGCTTTTGTCTTCTGTCTTCTGTCTTCTGGATTAATTACTATGCTTGCTGCCTTTCATCTGTCATTGTCATGTGTAATTGATATGTACTCACTTACCTATTTACCTACTTACCTACTTACCTACTTACCTACTTACCTACTTACCTACTTACCTACTTACCTACTTACCTACTTACCTACTTACCCACCTACCCACTTACCCGCAGAAGACATCACTTCGCTTTGCCTTACGCTGGTTAGAAACCAGGAAGTAAGCTCCTCAGCAGGATCACTACATATGTATGTAGGAATCTAAGAGGCCAAGAAGCTCAGAGGCTGTGAGGCTAGACACCAACGCAGCTCTATCAACCGACGAAATAGTATGTAGATACCAACCACATCCCCGTTCTTCAGTAGTGTATATAGCATATAGATACGATAAAATCAACAACGCCACGGATGGCATAGAACCAAGAGAATGCATCCCCTGAGAGCCCAATATAAATTAGATAATATCCACAACCTCTGATGTTAATATTAACCTCAACCTCAACCTCAACCTCAATCTCAACCTACAGCCTCTATGTCCTGCTAAAGTCAATACAAATCTCGGTGGTAATTAATATCGTGCAAGGTCACCGGGGAACTTGTATGCTGTGTGGTGTGTTAGGGAAGGAGAGTTGGGTTTGAAGAGGAGGAAGATGTGGGTAAGATGTAGTATAGGTGAACTAGATAAAACGGGATAAAATATACACGTGTCTTATCTATCTCGTCTATCTCGTCTATCCATCATCAAAAAATAAGAAAACCATCCTATCATATATATATCTAAAAATCAGCTATATTTATCGCTACTACTATCATATCTCCCGTTGACTGAAAGCGCAGTACAGTCGACTATATGATCATCTGCAGGTTCTGAGTTCACAAGAAAGCTTGCGTCTTGCTACGGTTATAACAATATATTTGTTAATGAATAATAGCTGTCATCAATTTGGGGTTGTGGCGCAGTGGTAGCGCGTTCGCTTTGCATCCATGATTCAATCATGCGAAAGGCCTAGGGTTCGATCCCCTACTGCTCCAATCTTTTTTTTTGACCAAATCCTTCTTTTCCACCTATCCACATAGCATAGCTGGATTTTTGTTTCGGGACTTCTGTTGCTGTTGGGGCTGGGACTGTGGAAGGAAGGACGGAACCTGGGACTTGGTATGATATTTTCGTGTATTTTAGTTACTGGAAGTTTCTGTGTTTATTATGCCATGTCAGACCTCCCAACCGTACAGCCAGTTTACCGGGTAAAATCGTAAACCAGGTAAACTGAACTGATAATTCACAGTTAGTTGGTGCAGTTTTCGTGTTCCGGATACGCAGTTGGTTCAGTTTTGAGGGTCCCATAGAACCAGGTAACTGCAGTGCACTGATTGAACTGATTGAACTGACTCGGTAAACAGTTTACTGGTTGTCAGATACAAACCAGTTTAACCACCTCACTGACTACTGCACAGAAGAATAAACAGCCAAACCCATGCATGGAGGATCATAGACAGCCAAACCGATGCAAATATTGTACCTAAACCTCGTTTGAACGCACCTCTGCTGGCCTGGATTCTCCTATATATCTCGCCTAGACTATTTTATCTTGACCTACAGAACTCAACCATATCTTACACTGCCATTTCTCTCCAACCACCTACAATGAGTTCCGTTACCAGCGGCCTCTCCTCTATACCACCTGGCTTCAATACCCCGATAGAACCCCAACAAGGCTCTGAAGATACGGCAACAGGTAGCCCACGCAGCCGGACGAGTATGTTGATTACTGTGCGCTGAGACTTGAGACAGCACTTGGGGATGGTCCTTCTGCCATTGAGTGGTGGTGTGAGCCCCGGCAGCGGGCCAGGTTCCCCAAAATTTGCAAAACGGCTGTTGAAGTACTGCTGTCTATTCCCGCAATGAGCGCCGAGCCCAAGCGGCTGTTTTTCGAATGCAAGAAAATCATTATATCGGACCTTCATTCGATGCAGGCAGACACTCTGGAGGGCATTGAGGGGCTCAAGAGCTTCAATCGTGGGCGTCAGTTGTTATTTCTGGGGACCAAATTAGGATCGAATTTTGTTATGTATGCACTGAATAATATTTATTGTCCCTTTATAAACCAGTTCCTCTGGACAAACCAGTTTTGGCAGTTTTAAACAGTTCACCTGGTTTGCCAAGCCTTGCATTCAGTTAACTGGTTTTCGCAGTTTAACCAGTTTATATTACTGACAGTAAACTGAACTGGGTCGCCGTACAGTTCTCATATTCCAACAGTCCGTACAGTCCGTTTTGGCCGTCATTTTAAACTGGTTTGTACGACTGGGAGGTCTGTGCCATGTATGGTGATAATAGCATATGTCGGCACGGATGATTTGCGTGATGTTTATTCAACGTGGGAGTTTTGATGAATTATGATGTCGGACGCTGCTATTATGATTTTAATATAGTAAGGAACGGTCCTTGGATCAATGGTTGTTAGTGTCGTTGTATGGGATGCGGATGAAGAATGGATGGATAAACTGTCGCAATGAAGGTTGTGGTGCTTTGGTTTCGAGGAAGATGAAGAAGGGTGTTGGTGGGTTTTTTAATGGTGGGATGTGTAGTTGAAAATTTGGGAGATTGGTATTTTAATAACTGATTAGTTGATTGTGTAATCTCAGTGTGGTGGTCTGAAAGGATCGAGGGGGGGGGGGGGGGGGGGGGGGGGGGGGGGGGGGGGGGGGGGGGAGTATAGTGGTTTTTGGTGAGAACTTGGGAACAGTATATCATGATGCGGGGTTTACAGATTGCAATGGGTCCGGGAATGGTAGATACTGCGATTAGAGGGATTGAAGGTCATATAGGGCTGGGCTAGAAAGTCGTGTCAAGTTACTTATTAAGCGTTCATCGAAGTTTTACATGGACGTTTTGCAAAAGTGATTAAGTGGATATTCATAATGTATTATCCTATTCAACAAAAATTACTTTTAAAAAAAAATTCTAGCCAATCCCATAGCCCAAAGCCCATTCAAACAAAAGATATCCCCCCAAACGTCCTCCTCTATGCAAAGAGTTTTTGGTATAACCCACCAAAACCCGCAAAAACAGCCGCGCTTATAGCGCCACCTATCGCGCCGGTAACCGCGCCAACCACCACTCCCTTGCGCAATGCGCCACCGTATGTACCCTGGGATTCATCCCCGACATCCTTCATGCCAGCTGGTTTAGCACCTACAGGATCCACCAGCCTCTTCGACCCGCGGATCTTCTCATACTGTTCCCTGAGTACCTGGATATAATCATCGACAACTCCAGGATCATCTAACGACCGTCCTTCCATCGGCGCCAAAATCTTCAGCATCTCAAGCCGAGGCAAAGCCGCCATCTTCCCTCTCTTTCTCTCTTCATCCGACAGATCATAATACTGAATATCCAGATATTCAACTGAATATTTTAGGAGAGCAGTAGAACAATGGACCTTGGTTGGTCCAACATCTGGACGTCTGTTGTCCTCTGAGGATACTGGTTGTCTCTGCTCTTCTGGCATGATATCCTGGTGCTTTGGATACTCTTCACCAAGAGTCGCTTTCTCGGCCTCGGCCTTAGCTTTAGCCTTGGCTGCCTCCTCGGCTTCTTCCTCTGCCCAGAGTTCTGCAAAGTCTTCATACAGCAAAGGACCGCCCCTTAAGCCGTAGTCTCGTGCGGGTGGTGCAGATGGTGCGGGTGGTGCAGATGGTGCGAGTGGTGCAGATGATGCAGATTGTGCGGGTGGTGTTGACTTGACCAGTGCCATCGACGTCACTGACGCAGACACGGGTTCCCCGACAACTGTCATTTCACCAAACGTCCCATCCTCCAGCTCTTTTGGCACGATCATAACGGCATTAATCCACGCTTCACATGCGTCCACAGAAGGCATATCCAAGTCTGATGAGCCTTTCCGCGCGTATTTCATAGCCTTGGTAGCTACATCGGGACTGTAGCCGCGGCCCCGGAGTTTGGTATAGACGGCAGTGATGCTGTCTGCGGCAACTATCTTGGGTGAAAGCTCGGGCTCGGGGAGGACTACGGGTACTTCTAGGAGTTTTTGTGCCTCGGCTTTGGGGTCCCAGAATGGTTCTTCTGGTGCGGAAATCTTCGGAGGTGGAGAGGCGTCGGGTGAAGAGGAATCACTGGCATGCTGAAGTTTGTTGCTTGCCCTCTTCTGTGTCTTCCTTCTTGGCACCGGTGTAGAAGACTGCTTAGTTGTGGTGAGGGTTGTTGCCTGCAGTGTCGGGGTCGGGCTTGGTTTCTGCGGGGGCGGCGATGGACTTGGCTGAGTCCTTCCAACGGAAGCTGGTAGAAGCTATTTACAACATTAGTAATTAATCAAGACAAAAGATAGAGACGAAATTCATACCTTTGGGGTTTTCTTGATCTTCTCCCAAGCTTCTGGAGTACCTGCTGGTGCCACTGGGACACTCTGCAACAGGGCCAGTGATACTGATGGTTTCTGGCCACCGCGAGATAAAGCATGAGGCTTTGATGTGGCTTCAGCAGTGTTCCTGGCCCGTTGTTTATCTAGGTATGCCTGGAAACTTAAAGTTTCCTTTGCCTCCTCCTTGCCTTT